GCGGGCACCGCATGCCCCCGGGCCGGGCGGAGACGCGGAGCCCGCGGCCGGACGTCCCGGAAGCGGACTGCACGAATTGTATCCTCGCCGAGGTGGCGGCCTGGGGCGATCAGAAAGGGGAACAACGCAGTGGGCTGCGCAGCCTGGGGGCCGAGCGGGGCTGCCTGGGGGTTAGGGCGGTGGAGGGAAGGCCTGAGGGGCCGGGGGGCGGGGTAAGGAGGCCTGAGGGCGGCCTGGGGGCAGCCGGCCTGGGAGGGACCAGGAGTCTGGGGCAGAAAGCCAGTATCGGTCGGTGCCTGAACCATACACCCCGCCAGCACCCTCACCGTGCCCTTCCGGTCGCCCCTGGAGGCGGAGATCGCCCGCGGGTCCCTGGCCCCAGATGCTGAACCGCACGGAGGGGTGGTTCATAAGGAGTTCACACTGAACGGCAGCGTCCTGGCTGTGTAAGTTCCAGAAGGGGCCGGGGTGGGCGGGGTGGCAGGGGACGGCGGCCAGTCTCCATCCGGGGGGCGCTGTAATGGAGTCATCTGACGGATAGGTGTAAGGAGGGGGTGTGTGTGTGGTGCTGCTGCGGGCCTGCAGCCGCCTGGCGAGGGCGCTCTAACCGAGACCCCGAAAGGGTTAGTTCCAATGACGGCCTGACCTTTCAGTGATTTTCTTTTCCCCTCACTTTTAGCCGATGGACTGCTGAAGACCCTCGCCTCCTCCGGATTTCCATCATCAACTTCCTCGATCAGCTTTCCCTGGTGGTGCGGACCATGCAGCGCTTCGGGCCCCCTGTTTTCCGCTAAGCCTCAGCCGGGAAGAGGGGCTGAGGCCTAAGTTTGTGTTTCCCCCACGCCGAGGCAGTGCGTCCTTCCCTGGGCACTGACTCCTGGAGTAGTTGCCGCTTTAGGATGGGGGCCTAACTGTTGGCCTGCGTTGGCTCTTGGGCGCTCTCGGCCAAATTGTTTTGTTTCCCCGTTGTTGGAGGAGGGGGGGGGGTGTTGAAAGGTTTGTCACAGCGGAAAATAAAACTGAGCTTCTATTCCGTGTCTGAATTCCTTTGCAGCTCCCACACCTCCAGAGTTTCTTGTCCTCGGGTTGGAGGGGAGGTTCAGGGACTCAGATATTCAGGTAGTACAGGGTAATTGAAGACAGTGTGGGAAATGGAAGAAAATGGAAATCACTCATGTCCTGTCATTCAGCATTCACTACTGTCAACATTTTGGAATATTTTCTTAGTTTTGCCGTTGTATTTATACATTACATGTATAACAATAAAGTTTTTCTAAGTTCAACATTTTTTTTCCTAATTTTTTTTTCCGCTTAACATTGAGCTTTTCCTCTTTCTACAAATTCTTCAAAACCAGGTTATTAAATGGAAGCATACACAACGCATCGTAATTGCTGAACATTTCAATTCTGTCTGATTTTTCCCCTGTCGTGAGTACTAGTTCAGTGGGATTCTTATAGATACAACTTTCCATGAGTGGTTATTTGCCTTAGATTTCAAAAGACAGTAAATATTTACTTTTCCATATATTACTTAAGGCTCTTGATCCAGCATGCAAAATTGCTCTCCAGAAAACGTGCCCTCCCACCAGAATTCTGGTTTTCTCCACATCCTTGTCACCTCTGGGTCCACTTCCTGCCTAAATAAAAAAATTTAGTTTGCATGAGAAAAGCAAACACCCCCAAAACGCTAGAAGACAAAGTTTATGGCTAACTGGATGTGTTTAGGATCAGTGGGGGTAAGCAGGAACGCTGAGACAATGGGTAGTGTTTGGGCAGGGGTATTGGGTGTTTGTTGTTATTGTTAGGGGCCATCAAGTCGGTTCTGACTCAGTGACCCAGTGTACAACAGAACGAAACACTGCCTGGTCCTGCGCCATCTTCACAATCGTTATGTTTGAGCCCGTTGTTGCAGCCACTGTGTCAAGCTCGTTGAGGGTCTTCCTCTTTTTCTTTGACCCTCTACCAAGCACGATGTCTTTCTCCAGGGACTGATCCCGCCTGATAACATGTCCAAAGTCCATGAGACGAAGTCTCGCCATCCTTGTCTCTAAGGAGCATTCTGGTTGTACTTCCTCCAAGACAGATTTGTTCCTTCTTCTGGCAGTCCGTGGTATATTCAATATTCTTCACCAATGCCACATTTCAAAGGCAGCAATTCTTCTTTGGTCTTCCTTATTCAATGTCCAGCTTTCCCATATGAGGTGACTGAAAATACCATGGCTTAGGTCAGGTGCACCTTTATCCTCAAGGTGACACCTTTGCTTTTCAACACTTTAAAGCGGTCTTTTGCAACAGATTTGCCAGATGCAATGCGTCTTTTGATTTCTTGATTGCTGCTTCCATGGGTGTTGTCATGGATTGAATTGTGTCCCCCAAATTTATGTGTACCAGTTTGGCTAGGCTATGATTCCCAGTATTGTGTGATTGTCCAACATTTTGTCATCTGATGTGATTTTCCTGTGTGTTGTAAATCCTCTGCCTCTATCATGCTAATGAGGTGGGATAGGCAGCAGTTATGTTAATGAGGCAGGACTCCATCTACAAGATTGGATTGTGTCTTGAGCCAATCTCTTTTGAGATATAAAAGAGCAGAGAGCAGAAGAGACAGGGGGAACCTCATACCAACAATAAAGCAGCGCTGTGAGCAGAGCACATCCTTTGGACCTGGGGGTTCCTGTGCATAGAAGCTCCTAGTCCAGGGGAAGATTGATGACAAGGACCTTCCTCCAGAGCCAACAGAGAAAGCCTTCCCCTGGAGCTGATGCCGTGAATTTGGACTTCTAGCCTATTAGACTGTGAGAGAATAAACTTCTCTTTGTTAAAGCCATCCACTCATGGTATTTCTGTTACAGCAGCACCAGATGACTAAGACAGGTGTTGACTGTGGATCCAAGTAAAATGAAATCCCTGACAACTTCAATCTTTTCTCCGTTTATCATGATGTTGCTTATGGGTCCAGTTGTGAGGATTTTTGTTTTCTTTATGTTGAGGTGTAATCTATACTGAAGGCTGTGGTCTTTGATCTTCATCAGTAAATGCTTGAAGTGCTCTTCACTTTCAGCAAGGAAGCTTGTGTCATCTGCATAACACAGGTTGTTAATGAATGTTCCTCCAATCCTGATGCCCTGTTCTTCATATAGTCCAGCTTCTCGGATTATTTGCCCAGCATACAGATTGAATAGGTGTGGTGACAGGATACAACCCTAACACACACCTTTCCTGACTTTAAACCATACAGTATCTCCTTGTTCTGTTCAAATGACTGCCTCTTTATCTATGTACAGGTTCCTCATGAGCACAATTAAGTGTTCTGGCATTCCCATTCTTCTCAATGTTATCTGTAATTTGTTGAGCCACACAGTCGAACGGCTGTGTTTGTCGGGTGTTTAGCTCCCTCTAAAATACCTTGTGTCCTGTAACCTTGCTAAACTGACTTCTTAGTTCTAGGAGATCCTTTGTAGATTTCATCGGATTTTGTACCTAGACTAACAAGTTGACTGCAAATAAAGACAGTCTTACGTCTTCCTTTTCAGTCTGTTCTCCTTTCATTGATTGATTTCTCTCCCTGTTATGGGTTGGATTTTCCTGCTTCTTTTAGTCGGCCTGGTTATTTTAGACTGGATGTGAGACATGGTGTTTTACCTGTGTACCTGATATTTTTGTCTTGTTCCAGGATGCTCTTAAGGTTCTTAGCAATAGTATGTTCCTTTCGAGTGTTGCTTTTAAGATTTGCTCAGTGGGACCAGAGCGGCTTTTAGGGTAGCATGAATGTTTCCTTACTGCTGAGGCAAGACCCTGCTGAGTACTCTACCTGTATTGAGGTTTTCCCTTCTGGTGGGCGGGGACAGATGCTATTCCTGGTCCTACTTGAGCCCCTCGTGGCTACCACCATTAACCCTTTCCGGTGGTCCTTTCCTTGGCCCCTCGGAGTCTCCTCAGGCATGTGCCCATCAGGACTCTGCTGCATACTCGAGGGGACCCTCTGCCCATCATCTCCAGGGTTCTCCCCCTCTGCAGCTCTTGATCTACGGGACACGGGACTTGAGTCTGACCCTCCCTCCCTCACCCTGCAAAGCACAGAACCAGTCTGCAGCCTTGGCCCCACAGATGGACTGCTGAAGCTGCTGGGCTGGCTTCAAACGAAGTCAGGTCTCAGGTCCCATCGCTCCTCTTTCTCAAACCCTCCAGCAGGCTCCCACCTCTCCCAGAGGTAAAGCCAGGGCCCTCCCAGGGGCTCCGAGAGCCCAAAGTGGTCCCCCCCCTTTCCTCTCTGGCCTCCCTCTCTCCCACTCTCCCCCTTGCTCACTCTGATCCAGCCACATTGGCCTCCTCGCCCTTTCTGAAACACCCCAGCCCACTCCCGCCTCAGGACCTTTGCACGGCCTTTTTCCTGTCTGCAACTCTCTTCCCCTGGAGCTCACCTGACTCACTCCCTGACCTCCTCCGGGTCCTTCTCAAATGTTCCCCCTCAGCCAGCCTTTCCTGGCCACCCTATTTAAAATTGCATGCCACCCACCCCCGCCCCTCATTGCTCATCTGCCCCTCCCCCCCCCCACCCACAGTAGCCCCAGCTACCCTCGCTCCTTAATCAGACCATGGTCTCTCTCACCGGACTTGTCAGATGCCATTCTCTTGACCAGGATCCGTCCCAGCTTGCCCTGCTGCCCCCCACCTGTGCCCCACTTGAACAGGTGTAGGGGCAAGAGATAGGTAGGTGCATCATGATAGGAGAGACACCGGGGACAGTAAGGAGTTGCCAGCATGTAAGGAGTGTGGGTGCATTTGAAGGTACTGGAACGTTTTGAGCAGAGTGGCGACCTGATTCGCCTTGTGTCTTAACAGGATCCCGCTGCCTCCCTCATTGAGAATTGGCCGAGGCGGGGGGTCCAGGCAGACTGCGGGAGACTGGCCACGGAGGCAAGAGAAAATGGTGGCTCAGACCAGGGTGGGGGAGAAGTGAGTAGATTTTGGATATAAATGGAAGGTGGACCAACACGCTTGGCTGATGGACATGATTCTGGACTCCTCAAGTCCTCAGGAACCTTGGGAGCTAGTTACCCTCTCTCCCATTAAGGGAGTCTAGCTCCTGTGGAGTCTAACGGGGTTGTCTGTCTGGGTCCATGTTAACTACCACCCACCTAGCCCAAGGACAAAGCCACAGACTGTCTCCATTTTCCCAACATTTAATTAGCAAAAGGAAAACATTCCACGAACAAAGAAAAAGCCATGCAACCCAAGAGGAGAGGACCAGGGTCTGGGACACAGATGGGCCAGGTTGCTCAGAAGAGGCAGAAGACACAGAGGAGTAAGGCACTGCCGCATCGGCCCCTCAGGGCGGGCGCAGGACAGGGCAGATGAGAGCAAAGTGTCCAGGGCAAGTGCGGATAACACTGAGAACGTTTGGCAGCGGGGCAGGAAGAGTCCTGTGCCCTCAGGCCCAGGCGGCCCCTGCACTCGGTCGGCACTTGCCTGGTTATTGCTCTCCTGCTGCTCAGAGAGAACAGGGCCCCTGAGAACAGAAGGTCTGCCTCCTGCCACGTGCGGAGGGGAGCTGTGGCCAGCGGGCAGAGGGCCCCTTGGCACAGCCAGAGTGTGAGGGCAGCTACAGATGCACCACCCACCCCGACTCTGCTAGTGCTGAGTCTCCCTTCCAGGGAGGGTTGGGGCCAGCCATTACAAACAGAAGCGCCAGAGGCTGGACCACAGCTGGCAATGTCACAAGGGACCCAGTACAGGTGGAGAGGAAGGTGGGTGAGGTTGGCAACATCCCAGGAGGGACACACGTTTACAGCGGGAAACAGTGAGGTGGAGTTAACTTAAATAAATAGGTGTTTGGGGTATAAATAGGAAGGAGGGCAGGGGTTCTCGCCACACCTGGGCACCAGGGCAGGAGGGTGGGAGTATTGCTGCTGCTGGGACGGGGGGCTTGTTCCTGTCTCCCGCCTCCCCTGCCCCAGGGCCCAAAGCAAGGCACTAGTGAAGGGGGCCCAGGTGTGCTGGGGTCATAACGGCCCGGTGCCCACCCACCGCGCACCTGCTCTGAGGTCTCAGCCCGGCGACCAGGCGTGAGCCACCCCCCCTCATCAGAGGACAGCTCAGGACTGAGAAGCCCCCTCCTCACCCAAGTCTGGCACCCTCAGCTGTTGCTGGACACAAGGCTGACGATCTGCTCCAGCTTCTGGCGCAACCTGTGCTTGCGACAAGAGGCGTCTCGGTCCAGGGCGCTCAGAATCTGCGGTGAAGGGAAGTGTCCCCTGGAGCGAGGCTTGGGGGAGGGGCAGCTCCCCCTGTGCACAGCCCCCACCCCCGGGTTAGCTCCTCTCTCCCACGCCCCTCGGTGCCCCCTCGTG